TGGGGTTGTGGGCAAAGTATCTGGTATGGACTCACGCAGGGAGGGGGATGGCCAAGACTCAAATCTTGCTCCATCCCAGGTGAGTGGCTGGGAGAACGGAAACGGCACCTGCTCCCACTAGACCCAGAAGTGGTGTGAAGAGAGGAAGGTAGGCCCCAAAGAGCAGTCCCACCTGCCAGTTACAGAACCTTGCAACAAACTGGGATTTGGCAGTTGACATTTGTACTTTTGTAGGACCAATTTATCTTGTTCCCAATAGGCTCAGAGTCCAGGGCTGCAGAAAAGGTGCTAGCAGAGAAGGCGTGGTGAAGGCACCCCTGAGGACGCCAAGGCAGAAAGGGCAGGAGGAGGAACAGAGTCTCGTCCCCTCCTGTTTCCAGGCCCCCAATTCCCCACTCGTGTTCCTTGAACCACACACCACACTGGGACTTCCCAGGGCTTCTCTTTACCTCAGTTCTCCCGCCCCTACCAGGCATGCTTAAGCACAGATGCTGGGGCCAGGGACTCCTGACAACCTGTGAGACGCCCCGCCCACCCTTCTCCTGGCCTCCAGGTCTGGTCATCTGTGCTGCTCAGGACACGGCACTCCCAAGGCGTGCTGCGGCCTTCCCTGACCCATCTCCCCTCCCTCTCCGTGGACCCTCCCTAACACAGCCTCCAATTCAGTGTGCTCTGACCACTGCTGCAGGTCTCCCGTCCCTGCCACTCTGCATGCTCCAAGCTGCCCAGTGCCTGCTCTCCTCAGCTTGTGCTGTCTCCCATTCCCAGCCTGGGCAGCAGCTGAACCACCTGGAGATGACTTCATCAAGCCCTCGCCAACTTCTCCACCAGACACAGTTCTGCATGAATCTTCTTCAGGTCCTCAGGGTCCAGCCCAGACCTTGCTGGACAGTAGGTGCTAATGAAAATTTTACTGAGGCTGGCCTCAGGGTGCACTGCTTAAGGCCTTGTACGGGCACTTGCACCACATATAGAAGTTCCTTTTTGAGCCCTGGATACTCCAATTCTGACACAGCTTCCTGCTTAATGCATCCTGAAAAGCAGCAGGTGATGGTCAAGGACTCGGGTCCCTGCCACCCGTGTGGCTCCTGGTTTCAGCTTAGCCCAGCCCTGGCTGTGAACATCTGGGGAGTAAACCAGCCGATGGAACATGTTCATCTCTCTCTCCCCCCTCCACTCGTTCCCATCTCAACTCTGCCTTCCAATATATGAACATGAAAAAGGAAACATTCTTAGAATTTTACTAAAGGACAAACTGAAGGCAGAACAAGGAGGGCGGCAGTGAGCTCACGGCCAAGGCAAGACTCGTGGACAGGAGCCTCGCCCTGCTCCCCCTGCCGAGCACCAGCTGTTTGACCTGATTCCCAAGTCCATGAAGCTGGCATTGTGGCCTAGCTGGTACAGCTAATGCCACCACCCTATACAAGAATCAGTTCATATCCTGGCTGCTCCACTTCTGATCCAGCCGCCTGCTAACAGCTGGGGAAAACAGCAGAGATGGCCCAAGTGCTTGGACCACTGCACCCTCGTGGAAGACCAGATGGAGTTGTTGGTTCCAGATGTCAATGGACTCACTCCTAGCTGTTGCCTCTGGCCCTCTCTCTCTACCCCCCACTCCCTCCTTCTCTCTAACTCTACCTTTCAAACCAACAGAATACATTGATGAAAACAGTGAAACTGCTTTTCTGCTATGAGTGGGACAAACAGCCTCCAAGCCCCAGTAAACCTGGAGTCCACCCCTGGCCAGGCCCTGGCTCTGGCCCAGACTCCGGCTTAGGGGACTCTCAGCCCACACCTCCATCTGCCCTGGCCACCCCAGACATCTCGCCCTGATGCCCACCTCCCTCCATTCCCGCTGCAACAACAGGAGACATGGCCTAGTCCTACAGATGAAATGACAGGTATGTTCCCTCTGGTTAGAGCAGTTGGGTGTTAGAGGATACAGGCAGGGCAGGGCAGGAGCCAAGGCTGGCAGGGCCAGCTCTCATCACCTGCACACCTGCCAGCTGCCCAGCTGGAGGATCCCAGCGCCCCTGCCTGAACTGAGCAAGGGACATTGGCCTTGCCAGCAAACTCGCTGCACCATCCAGAGGCAGCAGACACCCACCGGGGGTCCCCCAATCCAGGGTCCAGCACTACAATCCATTTCGGTCAGTCAAGATTGCACAGCCCACTCGGCCCACTTGCCAGTGGGCTGCGCAAGGAGTCACCACCTCAAGCCAAAGTGCACATGAGAAGCAGCTCTGCTAAATGCCCATTCTGCTCCCCAGAGTCCGCACCCCCTGTACCCCTAGGATCCTACACACAAGCACACGGGGACCCTGGCTGCTCCCTTTGGCCCTGACAAACTCCTACACACCCCTCAAAGGCCTGCCCCAAAAATCTGTCCTCTGGGACTCCTCAGCTGGAGCTTGGCCAACTCTGCCCCAGTACCTCCTGCACACCTCTGTCACAGCACCCACGGGGTCAGGGGAAAAAGGTGCCTACAGCCCAACACCTGGTAAAAGAGTTATGGAAGGAGTGGCTTCTAGAAGCAGCTGTAATCAAGCCAGCGCTGAGCTTCTCTGCGGCTCCTGCTAGCCCCCTGGCCTTCCCCTCCCTGACACTTCTCCTTCTCCACCTTGCGAAAAATAGCCCTGAGACCCGATTTCAGCTAAACCTTCAAACACAGCTCTCCACTTTCAACTTCCCGACGAGGGATCAATTGGCTGTCAGGTTTCCCAGAGCCCTTGCCACTTCCCACTCTCCCACCGCCAGCACTGCTCAAGGTCGTCAGGAGGGACTGGGGGCAGAGGAAGGAGAGAGGGAGGCGAGGGCCTCGCGGGGACACCAGTATCCATGTCAGCTCCTCCTCGCTTCCATCAAGCCACGCCCCCAGCACCAGGCTGCAGGTGCACCTCAGCACCTCTGCTAAGGGCCCTGGGCCCCCAGTACCGGAGGCACCTGTGGCACCCTAGGACAGAGCTGGCCAAGCCCAGGAAGTAGCAGGCCAGTGGTAAGCAGGGGCTTCCCTCTCCCCCAGCCTGGGCCACACCCCGCTCCATGGGGGGAAGGTTCCACAAGGCTGGTGGAGAGGCCTGAGACTGGGAGGCTCCAACCCAGGGCCACTGGCTCAAAAGCCCATTCCTTCAGCTACTGCACCGGGGGGTTTAAACGCCCACTGGATGCGCAGAAAGGGCACTGCCTTACAAAACACTTGCTCATCTCACACGGTGGGAAACTGAGGCTCTCCCAGAGGAACTGAGGCTGGCAGGGAGCCCCGGTGCAGGGTAAGGGGGAGGAGGTGCCACAGGGGCTGTAAGCAGCACAGGTTTGGGGTGGGGAAGGTAAGTACGGACAAGCCCAGCCCACCATGCTGTCCGCTCTGGAGGAGAGGCAGACAGAGGGAATGCCAGGGACCTCCCCTCTTGGTCCACAGGCTCTGATCTCCCCCCCTCCCCTGGGGTGGGGAGGTGCCTAGTGAGAGGCAGTGACACTCCGCTATCCGGGTATGAAATGACAGCACAAGGTGGCACTTGTCAACTCTATTCTGTGCTGTCTCCCCTGCCTCCCCCAGGCTAAACCATGTTCCCCAAGCACCCTCCAGGGTCTACAACGCACGGCAGTCAGTGGAGCATGCAAGGGGGCAGGAGTGCGCATGCCCAGAGCTGGCAGTGCACACTGGAGGGGCTCCTGCCCCTGCATGGGGTCAGGGTTCAGGCCAGGGTCACATCTGACCGCCCCCAAACACCGGGTCCTGTGTCCCCACTCCAACTCCTCCACCGTTTTGACTGTTCCATAGCTGGAGGTTAATGGTGGATGCAGCCACTCCAGCACCTGTCAGAGCTGGGTGGGCCCCAGGTAGGTACTCTCATAAGAGCCCTCAGCTCAGCTTTCCCGAGACAGGGCCATCTCTCCATGTTCGGCTGATGAGGACACAGACTCAGAGAGGCTAAATGACCAGCGCAGTCACACAGCCAAGATGTGAGCACGCATTCCCGATGAGCTCTGCAGTGCCTGCCTCCGACAGCCCCAGACTGAGCCTTGACTCGCGCCCTTCCCAGTTGTCACTCTCATCCCTGAAGTGGGACTGTCCTGAGGAGCGGCTAAGATGCCTTCCGGGTGTGCACACCCTTCCTAACAGACCTCATACAGATGGGGTGAGGCTGGGAGACAAGCCCTGGGAGGCGCGGCTCAGCCCTCTCCCCCGCAACACACACACACAGCAGGGTGTAAGAGACACGGCAGCAGGCAAGCCCAGGAGCTGGCTAGCAATTACACAGCGGCCAGTTACAGCTGTGGCAAGGTACGAGGTGTGCGCCCAGAGCAGCCAAACCCCCATCTCCTCTCCAGATCCTACTCTTCCTTATCTCGGGTGCCCACACTCGCGAGAGGACCGTGTGACCAGGCTTGCTGAATGAATAAGTGACAGGACCCAAAACTCCGTGTGTGTGTCTGTGTGCACACGCACACATGTGATCATAGAGAACACGCTCTGTCAGGCTTGAAGCGTGACTCCTGTTTCCATAACGCTGCTTTAAACTACTATTAAAAGGGGCCAACACAATGGCTCCACAGGCCAATCTTCCACCTTGCAGCACCTGGCATGCCTTATGGGCACCAGTTCTAGTCCCAGCTGCTCCACTTCTGATCCAGCTTGTGAGCTGGGAAGGCACTAGAGGATGGCCCAACGTCATGGGTCCCCGAACCCACGTGAGACACCCAGAAGAGGCTCCCGGCTCCTGACTTCGGATTGACACTGCACTCTTTTCTCCTCCCGGCCAGTGGCTGCCAGGGCTCTGCCCTCCACCTGCCCCCTCCCTCGCAGGATGGCGGACCCCGTGCGGCCCCCTGGAGCGGGGCTGAGCCCCAGAGAGGGGACAACTGAGGGATCGGATACCTAGGGCGGGGGAGGCTCGATGCACTCCCAGTCCGTAGGGCCGCGGGCTCGCGGGGCAGCCCCCGGGGCCAGGTGGTGATGGTGGTGGCAGTGGCGGTGGTGGTGAGGCAGAGATAGTTACCGTGACCCGGAACGGGGTAGCGGCTGAGGGCTCCATGCTGGGGCTCTTCTCGGAGAGGCTGCCGGGCAGGCTGCGCCGGGAGCCTGGCCTTTCTTGGGGGGACTCTGTCGACAGAGGAAGAAAGAGGTTCATGAGAATAGTCGGGTCCCCATCCAATGCTCCTGCCACCCCCATACACGTCCTGCATGGTGCAGCCACTGTGCACAAGCCTGCAGGTTCCCACAAAACTGCAAGACTGAGTTCCCACCGGCCCTGCGATTCTGTTCCCAGGGACTCAAATATTCATATACCACGTCACTCATGACAACTCAAGACGACTACAATGGCAAAGTGCACACTCTACATGTTAGCATGACTTTTTTTTTAAATCTCCAAGGCATTTAGTGTAAGCCCACACCTCTGGTGATGTAGTGAGCTCCCTGTCCAGGGAGGAATACCAGCAGGCAGATGATGCTATCTTGGGAGGAAGCTTAGACAGCCTCCTTTAGCCCTCCAGACCTAAGACTCTGGAATCTCTGGCTTCTAACTTGGATTTTCTCTCCTGAAGCTTCTCAACCTGCTAAGGCCAGGCAGGGAATAAGGGGACAGCAGCAATGGAAACAGCTGTTACTCAACTCCCTGGGATAGGAGGTCAGTGTCACCTGGAGCTTCTCGCAAAAGGCTACAATGCCACCTTCTGTTTTTTAAAAATTAAATGACTGAAAGGCAGAGAGAGGGGGCCAGTGTTACGGTGTCAAGCTGCTATCTGCAGTGTCAGTGTCTCCATGTGGACACTGGTTAGAGTCCCAGCTGCTGCACTGCCAATCTAGCACTTGCTAATATGCTGGGGGAAGCAGCAGGGGATGGTCCCGAGGGCTTGGGCCCTTGCACCCATGTGGGAGACCAGGATTAAACTCCTGGCTTGAGCCTGGCCCAGCTCTGGCTATTGTGGCCATGAGGTGGGGGGGTGAACCCTAGGATGAAAGATCTCTCTTTATCTCCTTCCTGTAACTCTCCATTAAAATAAATCTTTCATAAAAATGCACGTGCAGGCACGCTCACACACATACACAGATCTGTCCCCTGGTACACCCTGCAAAATGGCCACACCAACAAGGAATGTCATCTGTGTTTCCCATGCCAGTGGTAGGACCTGCATCCTTGGCACATCATCTGATGCCTTCCATGTGCATTCACAGAAAGTAGGAAGGGAAGCAGAGCAGCTAGGACCTGAACTTGCACCCTGTTATGGGATGCCAATGTTACAAAGGACAGCTTAACCAGCTCCCCAATGCCAGCCCCCCAAACCTGAGTGTTTAAAAACATGGTGACAGCTCCTTGATTAGAAACTTCCCAATTTAGTGCTTGGCAGCCTTCCCCGCTGCTTCTACCCCCCACGCTGGGCAGGGGCAAACTCCCTGGCTGGAGTCCCAAGAGACGGTGTCCTTCCTGTTGTCCTCCCCCCACCCCGCCCACAGACTCTAGAGGAAACCCTGGAGCCCCCAGACCAGCCCCCAGCTCTCCGCCCCCTCTGGCTCCTATAGCAACAGCTAGGTCTGCATTTCCTTCAGTGCCCTCATTTGCACAGTGTGCAAGCGTGCACGTGTGTCTGTGGAACTCCCCCCACCCACGTCTAAGCAGGCTGCACTCCCCACCTGCCTCCTCAGCGCCCTGCAGGGAGCCTGGTGTGTTGGGGGGCACCTGGGAAACACCTGCCGCTTCACAGAGGGAGAAAAGGAACAAGGCAGAGGGGTCCCTGGTCCGGTAAACAGACAGGGGTGCAGAACAAGGGGCACGCACCCAGGCAAACACATATACTTGACCCCGCCTAGGCAGTGTTCCGTGTGTGCCCCAGACCCAGGACAGGAACACAGTGAGATGGAGGTGGGGGAGCACACAGCACAGACGGCACTGCTGGGGCTCCGGGCAGGAGGAGCAGGCTTCTGGGAAGGCAGCACTGAGCATTTTAGGGCCACTTGGTCCTGCACTGGGTCAGGACCACAGGAACATGGAAGGACATGTGGGCCTGAGCCCCTCCCCCAGCCAGGACAGGCTCCATCCCCAACCCTGACCATGGCCAAGCTGGTAAGTCCTGTGCCAGGACATGGTTAACCTGCCAGACCAGCCTCCTCCCCGAGACAACTCTGATTCCTGCTGCTTCCTGCACCCCCTCGACACCCTACCCAGTACTTCCTCCTTCGAACTTGCTTCACCCCTCCTCCACATCTCTACTGCTTCCACTCAAGGGACAGCCGCTCCTTCTGGAGGTTTCCCTAGGAAATCTCTTCCCACGCTCTCCCGGCTGCCTCCAGCTTTCCCAGCCTCCTCCAGCAGCAGCCTGAGCTCTCACATGTGTGTCACCTATGTGTGGGGGCGGGGTGCTCTGAGCCAGCATGGGGGGAGGAGGCAGTGTGTGCCCATCCCTCAGTGTCTCTGCCACACATGCGACACATGCTGGTAGGCCTGTTTTTGCTAAAGCGGCAACAGGCTCAAGGCACAGACATGAGCTCAAGTCACACAGCAAGGTGAGTGGCAAGACAGGAAGGAGGGCCCAGGTGTATCCAAATCCCATCTCCACGGCTCCTGCACACCTGAGGCCTCCGGGTCCCAGCACCCAGTCAAGGCACCAACATGCAGCAGTGCTCAGGGCTCAGGTGGGGAAACTGAATTACATGCAGACATGCACACCCCTACACGGGCATGCATACACTCTGCATGCGTGCAAACACACACTACACACATACACATACTCCCATGGGTGTCTGCACGCCTGTGCATGTATGTGTACTGCATATGCATAGCCCTATGCACACATACAAGTGCACACAGCAGGCCACTACTTCACCCCTTTCTGGGCAGGTGAGCCCTTAGACCTCTAGGCAATAGGCACATGGAGTCCCCTGGTAGAATGCAAGGACCCAGTGAGACTGCCTCTCCTCTGAGACCAAGCCCGAGAATCCCCCAACCCCGCCCATAACCACACCAGTGGCCTCCAGGGTCCAAGCCAGGAAGCCCTCAGAGGTTGCTTCACCGGATCTGCCATTTTACCAATGACAAAGCCAAGACTAGGGGGAAAGGAACTTGCTCATTATCCCCTAGCCAACAGGTCAATGGCAAAGATGCTCTCAAGTGTTCCCCAAATAGCCTTAAATTCATTCAAAAGTCCCCAAGAAGGCAGGATCCCAGGAAGGAGGTTACAGGGCAGGGGATCTGGAAGGGGAACCTTGGTCCTTCCCCGGAATCTCCTGTTCGCCCCCACTGCCTCCCGCTCCAGTGTGCCAACCCGGACACCTTCTGGACTGTGTCTGTGGGCCGTGGGCTGTCGCCAGGCATGGCTAACAGGGAACCACAGCAGAGTACAGGCAGAGGGAGGAAACAGCTGGGCTGGCTGTCCAACTACACTGAAGCTCGCAACCACCATCTTGGGGGACCCCCTCTCCCAGGTCCTTAGCTTCCAGGACCCACCCACGACCCTCCTCCTGAGGGTCTCTCTGGATCACCCTGCACGTCACAAGCTCCAGGCTCTAGTACTACCCCCGGCCCCTGGACCCCCACAGCTGCCATCACTCTAGAAACAGCCCATCCGGTTAAACACTCTGCAACCCACTCGAGTCTGGGTGCCACCTGCACCTGACTCCAGCAGATCAGATCTCAGCCCTTCCACCTACAGATGAGAAACCAGGCTTTGGGGAGAGAAGCTGCCAGTTGCCCATGGTCACATTGAACTTGAGGGCAAAGAGAGAGATAGGACCTAGTCGGGCTCTCTCCTGACCTGACACTGGTTTAAGTGCCCAGCCTGGAGCTCACCAAAGCCTCACGAGTTTCTGGCAACCGGGATAGGGCAGTCTTCACCATCACTAATGAATCTTTCCAAGTACTAGCCTTCCCCCATCCAACTGTAACACCACTGGTATATAGAGAGGTGTCTGTGTGTTGTCCCATGGGCTTTATAGGGCGAAAGGTTACACTGTTTTCATTCTCCACCCCCAGAACCAACTGCCTGTCTAGCTGCAATGCTGTCCTGGCTGAGAATGACATGTTCTAGACCCTTCCAAATGCAATCCCACAAGACAACCCAGACAGCGGCTCTAAGCTCCACTCTCCAGATGAGGAAGCTGAGGTGCCAAGAGGCAAACGTGATTTCCTCTAAGAAGCCCTCCAAGGACAAAGCCGGAGTGTACCTGAGCCTTCCTCACCCGTCCCCATAAATGCACACTTGGGGCTTCGGAGACGGCGACGGCAAGTGGAGGCAGCGGCCCAGGCTGATGCTAGATGACTGTATTGAACTCGAGCTCTGCTGTGTGGCTCACGGCTAACACCTGTTTGTCTCTGAGTCCTGATCTATCACAAGCGCAGCGAGGTAGCGAGCAAGAGCATGGAGCATCTCCGCTCCTCATCGCTGCCACCAGAAAACAGGGGCTTGGCACCGCTGTCCACGGCCTCTGACTCAGTCGCACAACATCCTGTGGACGGATGCTGTGATTCCCAAGATCAGAGCAACTCAGCTGGTGTCCACAGATGTTCAGAGAGGGTAAGTGAATCCTCTGAGATCACCCAGCAGGAAACTGGCACACCTGGCGACAACAGAGCACAAACGACCCAGGAACTTTTTATGAAGTCTCAGAGCTCAGTGTGTGACCCAGGAGCCCTCTTCCCCTCACCCATCACGTATCCTCCAAGTGACTTCCTGGTCACCAAGTCTACAAAATGAAGCCAGAAAACAAGCTGGTGGTCCTCGACTGCTACCCAGCGCCTTGCCTAGCCCCACTTACCCCAGGCTACCTTCTGATCTTGGAAAAACCACTGCATTTTAACCTTTGTGTGTTTGCAAAATAAATAAATAAAATCAGTTTCATTCAAATGCGGCTGGCTTGGTTGCCATGGATACCACCTAATCATGAAGGATGACTGTTACTTGTTCCCATGGAAACACAGCAGCCCGAGGAACATCCTGTAATTTCAGACAAGACACCAAATTTCAGTTGTCGGGCCTGAATCCTCCTGCTGAACAGGCATGGGGGGCAGGGGCCCCTTAGCTGTTGAGAAGTTGTGGAGGGGTCAAGACAAGGATGGGGGAGTGTGCAGGTCTGAGCTGTGCCCAGGAAAATGCAAATGAAAACTTACC